AGGTACAGATGGGTCTTTTATTGAACACTTGGAAATGTTTCCAAGGCTTTTGTTTTCTTCCCCCATTCATTCCTGCCGGATCCCTCGGATCTGCCAACTTCAGTCCCCCGAGGCTGAGGCGGCAGGGCCCGGCCCGTTCCGAGCCCCCGCTAGGGGGCGCGCTCTGGCCGTGGCGCCGAGCCGAGCCCGCGCAGGGGGCTGCGGGGAGGGCCGCGAGGAGGGCGCGGACGGCCCGGGTCGGCGCGGCCTCGGCACCGCAGCCGGCGCTGGGGCCCTCGCTGCTCCCTACCCCAGCTCCCACCGTGCCCCCGCCTCCTTTCCGGACTCCCCGGGAGCAGGAGCTCCTGAGTCAAGGCTGCACTGGGGACGCCGTGACCCCGGACGCACCCGGAGGCCCGCCGTCAGGAGTTGGGAGAGGAGAAAGCAGATGGTGGTGATGTCAGGGCATAGAGAAGTTCTCCCTGTGGGGTCTGCAAACCTGGGGGATGGGTACGGCAGGAGGTGGAGGGCTGTCGCAGAGGACTCGGGGTGACAGCCCAGAGCCCGGCCACTTGTCTCTCGCTTGTGGGAGGGGACGCACGCCCTCCTTCTGAGGCTGCGACCGGCTCGCCCAGCTCTGTCCCTGCAGCAGAGCTTAGGAAAGCTTCAGGGGCCTCCTGGAAGGACCGGAGCTGGGGTGCAGGGGTCTTTTCTCTCTGGTTCCGTTTTTTCCGCTCAGTCTCGCCCCCCTCCCCCTCCCCGTGCTGGCAGTGACCGAAGGTGGCGGAGTTCGCAAATAAGGGGAACTGTACCAGCGCAGTCATCACACCCCTACGTCCACGTCCGTAGCTTGAGGGCTCAGCCGCGGTCCTTGGGACCCTTCCCCCAAAGCCGCTTCCCAACGCACCTCTCCCAGCCTGGCCCTGCTGGTGGAACCCGCGGCTCAGGCGGAGACAAGGCGAAAAGGGAAGCAAGAGCAAAGGCGAGGCAGTCTTTCCCAGGAAATCCAACTTCTCGGTCCCTGTGGACCCTTCCACGGACTGCTCCGTTGAAAATGCATCAGCAAACCCCGTCCACAGACAAAGCCCCCCCACCCCCCGCACGCGCCCCGGCCTGGGGAGAACGGAGGCGGGAGTGGAAGTGCAGGGCAGCAGGGCCCGGGAAGGCGAGGGAGAAGTTCTAGGCGGGCGGATTGTGGTACATTTCCTCCTACCAGACTTCCAGGATGAGAGACCTGGATTTGTGCAGAAAAAGCACACCCTGAGTGGATAAGATTCTGAAAGCAGCATTTGAGGAGGTTAACCTTGACTGGTTGGAGTTAAGGGGGGGTGGGGGAGGCAAATATTTCTGTTTGTGCCCTCGGGCTCTTCCCAGCGCCGGCTGTCAATCGCAACGCTTGTTATCCTCACACGCCTTCAGTTTGTTTGCCTGATCTCAGCAAGGTTTTCTTCCACAAGTAGAACTATAATTGCTATAATTCTACTGTATCATTTGGATCATTGCAGTATTGTTGTTTTCTCTCCCTCTTTCTCTCCTCCTAACACTGCAATAACGCGCTCCAGTGTTAAATTAGCAGGTTGCGGAAGACCATAAATGAATGAAAGTTTGTTTAAAAAAATTAAATAAATAAAACAGCAAAATGACTTGGCAAAGGGGATATCACATCACAGAGAATCCTTGCGTGTAATCAGGACGTATTGTCTTCCCTTCCAATGGCTTCCAAATTGGTCGCCAGACTCCAATGAAGTTTATTTCTATTGTTTAAATATATGTTTTGAAGAGGTTGAGCATAATTTAAGAGGACCTGAGCCATCCGGTGCGACTGGAAGCCCATTACAGCTTTATTTATCTATGTGTATATTTCACAATAAATTAAAACGTCTCAAATGAAAAGAGTGTGAGGTTAACTCTCCTCCAAACATTTTCCCCCCTGCATAATGACATCTAACTGCCACCCCCTTATCCCGCATTTCTTGCAAATATAATTTTAAAACTACAATGTAGAATGAGCACTCTCAGCACAGAAATGAAAAGGGTTTGTTCCTTTCACTTCTTGTAGGTAATTATTACTTCCAGGTCTGGGGACAAGCCCCATTTTTTGCCACAAACAACAGTTTTAAATACTTCTGACCCTCAGTTCCTCTCATTATTGTCACTTTTTATTTTAGTGATTGATTTTAAGAGTAGATGAACCACAACCCGTTGTTTTCCAAGCAGTGCTAGGAAAGAAACCCCAACAGTTACAGACCCTAAAGATTAGAGGAGCCGGGAGTTGTGAATAACAAAGTGCAAACATGAATAATATCACTAAAACGCAGATACCTTTGAATAGTGAGTGAAACAAAGGGAAGAAAGTGAGGTGAAAACAATGTGGGGTGGGGTGTCATTTTGCTGGCAGGGTACATATTACTCTGGGCTACACTCTAAGTTCTTGTATACATAGTCCAATAGCTCTATGGTTTAAAGTCTACCTACGTAATACACCCATTAAACTCTCCCTAGATGTTTTATTTTCTAAAATAACATACAGGAAAACAGACATGCATCTTAAACCTGTATTCTGACTAACCACTGTGCAGATGTCAGCAGTCTTCCTGTCCGGTACCTTAGAAAAGTTTTCTGCAATTTTGTGAAAAATGCAGAACCCGAGGAAGAGCAAGGGTCAGCTGTAGCTTTTGCAGTTGGGTAGTGAATGGTGACAAAGATGATCTCCAGGCTGCTGGGTGGAGAGGGACCTAGGTCAGGCCCTTTTCAATGAAGTGAATGGACAGGCCTTCTCAGTGGCATCCTCACTGGGGAAGATTAATTAGAAAAAACCAAAAATAAATAAAATAAAGCAACAGAACAAGTGAAACTAGTGTTTTTACGGAGGTCTTCCAAACGAACACTTTATATTCCATCAGTAGAATTAAGATTTAATTCCAAGGATCATTAAGTCGGAATCAGAAATTCTATGTTAACCTCCCCTTTTACAGTGGGTGATTAAAATTAGAATACACCCCAGCAGAAAGTCCGACTTCTTTTAAAAGCAGAACAGCTGCAGAAGGGGGAGGAGGGGGATGGAGGCGAAGAAGTCTTCCACCGAGAAAGTTGAAAGCTCGGTGGACTCTTAGAAATGATTTGTGCATTTGTGTGCCTTTTTGTTTAACACAATCTTTCTTGGACTCATTTTCAGCCCACTCCCTGCGTGTGGGGAGACGACTCTGAAGTCACAGAGCCACCCGGCAGCCGGGTCTTGTGGATTTCCGACGCGGGGCCCTTCGGGGAGGGAGAAATGGCTCGGCTCGGTCTCTCTCAGCGAGCAGCGCGAGGACGCCCGTGAGGGTCCGGGGCTGGCTGGAGGCTCAGAGGAAAGCGATGAGCCTTTACGCCTTTCGGCTGCGATGAGAGAGCTGTGCACTCCGGGAACCGGCTTCCGGGCCAGGCGAGGGAAGGGGGAGGGAGTTGGTGCACAGAGTGTTAGTTTCTAGCTAAATGGGACCAAATAAAAATACCGAACTGTTGGTGAGGATCTGGACAAGGAATAATGCGGGAAAGGCAGGAGGCAATCCCAGGTACCTTGGTACCTCAGCGAGGGCTTAAAAGAAAATCAAATGTCTCCTCTGCCTTCTCCCGCCCTCATCATCCAAGTGCTACGGGGAAAAACCGGTGAGAAACTAAAAATCAGAGACAGAGATAAGGAGAGAAATCTTTTCATCTTGCCTTTAATAGTAGTAGTAGTAGTATCAGCATTAGTATTAGCGTTATTAATGCGCCTGTTACCAACCCTTCATCCCCCTCAAGTTTTGTCTTGAATGCTCCTGCCAAACCAGCCCGATCTATCTACCACCCACCCACTAGCATACAAGAGTTAGGCAGATGTTTATGGCTGGAGGGAAAAATCGCAGTTATGCGTCCTTGTATTTTTAAATACTGACTGTAAGTGATTCAAGTATAATCCTTTGTAAAACGCTTTTCTCTTTGACACATTGAAGGGGTTGAGAGCGGAAAACCCGGCGTGGATTCCCCCTCCCCGACCCCTCTCCCACGCACCCCTCTCATCCCCACCCGGCCGCCGGTGATGGAGCCCCTGCTTGTCCCTTGCGCCTCGCAGGTAGGCAGGGAGGACGTCCTTGGCCGCCCCTCGCCCGGGCTCGACCCAGCTTGAATCCGAGTAGGGTCTTGGTTCTCAGCTTCCGACACGCAGGAGGCTGTCTGGGAAGGGACGCGCTCCCTGAGGCTCACCTCTCTCACCTTCGCTAATGGGAGCCGAGTCGTGAGAACTCGACATTTTGGGCGCTTAGATTTGATTGAAGCCAAATCTGAGTCCCTTCCACTCTTGAGAGCTCAGAGCCCTCGGAGGCACGATTCGAGGGTAAGCAGCCTCGTGGCGATAGGCTAACTTGGGAAATCTTGTGGGAAGAAGATAGAGAAAGGTCTGGGAGAAGGGGGAGACCCCCGACCCTCCTCGCAGCTGATAGTTGCTAGTCCCTTTCCGCCCTTGGCTGTCAGGGGGCTTTTTCTCATTCCTGAGTTAAAAACGGGGGCACGCTACTAACAAGAAAACAATGGCCGGGCTCTCAGTTGGTCAAAGACAAATAGCACAACACGTTGGACCACCAAAAGAACCGAAGGCGCAGACAGCACATGTTCGCTGGCGGCTGTCACCTTGGCACCTAGGAGACCAGACCCGTCTGACCTAGGCAGGACCACGACTGCCAGTGAGGTCGAGGCGCTGTCGAGAAAGCGCAGTATCAACTTCGAAAAGTGCCAGGTCGGTGTGATCGTGAGCCTCAAGGCCTCACCTCCAGGGGGCCAGTGCTCTGGCTGGTAGAAGGGGCGCACACGACGCCCATGCGGCACCCATGGCCTCTCACCCGAATTAGCTGGAGCTCCAGACCAACTCAGAAGGGTTAAAGGAGGAACTGTAGGAAGAGGATGGCAGAGTTAGAAAGTTGAGAGAGAGAGAGAGAGAGAGAGAGAGAGAGAATGCATATGAGAATTGGCTGTGTTGCGTGCCCGCTGCTGTACCGCACCCCCTCCTGCCAGTCCATCCATAATCCAGTCCTGGCTTTGCGCTGCACCCACAGCCCGACGCAGCCCGGCCTCTGGCGAGAGCCAATCAAAGGGCGCCTCTCAGCACGTGGAGGAGAGAGACTCCAGAGCTCCGCGCCCGCTGCTCACTACACTTGTTACCGCTTGTCCTGAGCGCGGAGAGGGCGAGCTCCGGCCGCGGACAGGACGGGAGCCGGCAGCCGGCAACCGAGGGAGGCAGAGGCACAAAGATCGCAATATTATCCATTATAACCAGCCATCCAACCTACCCCCAACACACACCCATCCATCCCACCTGCCTGGAGAGGCAGCCAGCAGTCTGCTCTCTGCGCCCAGGGTGGGGGAAAAAAAAAGCCCCAGCCATGAGCAATCAGTACCAGGAGGAGGGCTGCTCTGAGAGGCCCGAGTGCAAAAGTAAATCTCCAACTTTGCTCTCCTCCTACTGCATCGACAGCATCCTGGGCCGGAGGAGCCCATGCAAAATGCGGCTGCTGGGAGCCGCACAGAGCTTGCCCGCCCCGCTGGCCAGCCGCGCCGACCAGGAAAAGGCCGTGCAAGGTAAGCTTGTGCCGATCAGGCACCTGCAAAGAGCTCCTGACACTGATTTGGATGTTTGCTGTTCGGGGGTCAGGGGTCTGGGCTTGTCAAGTCGGAGACGACGATGGAAGGAGAGGCTACAACTCTGAGGCCTGTTGCCTCCAAGAGTGATAAACATCTTACCATGGGATGTCTCTCCCTCCCTCTCTGCTTCCAGAAAAAACAGAGGCCCAGCCTCGCTTTGAGGGCCGCTAGGTTCTTCTGTGTTGGTCGCTTGATGGCTCAAATCTCCCTTTTGGTGGCTTTGAGTATGCTCCGAACAGGGTTCCCCAGATCAGAAACAAGAGATGCCCTCTAGGCCCCGGTAGCAAAAACTTGATGAAGACAAGAAACTCAAAAGCTGATTTAAGGCGTTGCCAGGCAGGGTGAGCCTTGGCCTTTCCTCTCGGGAAGATTTCTGTAGACTCCATGTTTTCCTTTTTAAAAATTTGTAGATTACTTGTGACCTTTTAAACCCAAGCTTTGCAGAAAATCTCGAGACTCCCCCAAATGCTCCATATTGTATGTGAAATGTATGCACTGTGTGGCTTCTGGGTGCTATTTTTTTCTCTGCTATGTTATTTTTTAAGAGTTGAGCTGTCGAAATGTTTAAAAGCCTTTATTTTCTGAAATTAAAGATTCCTCCACAACAACCGTTTTGCCTCGAACCTGTTACGCTCAAGTTTCGCCTTGAGCTGGATGCAGAGGTGTCGCAGGGAAAGAACTGTTGGTTTCTTTAAAAATCCGAAAACCAGCGGTCCAGCCGCAGCGCCACTTGGAAGACAGGAGCGGACCGCCGAGAAGGGCCGTTTAAAATTAAACTGACTTTTCCCCTTTCTTGTTTTAGCCTGCAGGGGCACCTGTGCCAGGCGCTTCCCCTGAAAGGAAGGGGCGGCCTGTGCCTGTTGCACCCCCACTTCTGTCCCAAGCCCAGGCCTTCCCAAGCGCATGTTCACCAGGACGATTTTTCTTTGGCATCTTGTGCAGGGAGCCCCCGCCCCTTCTCGCTGTGGGCTATTGGGGCGCGGCCCGCGCTCTGGGCTAAAGGGCTGTCCCCCTCCACGCACACACTCACACACACACACACACACACACGGGTTGCACGCCGGCATTGCCCCTCTCACCAGCCCGGACCCGTGGTGGAGCCGCGGGCAGAGGTCCTGCGGAAAGTTTTTAGGGAGGTGGTGTTTTCTAAGTTGTGAAACGTTTTCGGATTCTCCCTTGCCCCGACCTGAAATCGGAAGCCGAAAAAGTGGGAGAGTGGGCAGGGGGAAGGCAGGAAAGTAAGCAAGGGAAAGAAGGAGAGCGAGAGGGGGGAGAAAGCAAGCGGTAAGAGACGAGAAGGAAAGGGAGAAGGAGAAAGAGCTGAGGAAGGGAAGCAGGTGAGAGACAATGGAAAGAAAAGGGAGAGAAGCGAGAGGAATAGGTAAGAGAAGGAATGGAGAAATAAAGCTGAGGGGGGGGGGAAGGGAAGAAGGCAGTGAGGAGACAGAAGGAGAAGGGGGGAAGAAACAAAACAAGAGCAACGGAAGGAGGGAGAGCAGGGTATAAAGAAAAAGAGCAAGAAAAGTGGGGAACGAAGTCAGGGGGTGAGGTCTAGTGGCTCGGGGGCCGTGCGCACCTCGGCCTAGGCGCCCAGGGAGCGGCGGCAAGCTGGCTCCGCACCAGCGGCTAGGGCAGGGACGCCTGGACCGGCTGACGCGCTGACCACTCTCCCTTGCCCGCAGGCTCCCCTAATTGCAGCATCGGCGCGCTCATGGTTCTTCTGCACCAGCCGTTTTATCTGCGGCGCTCTGGACTTGTTTGTTAACACTATTCTTTTTTTCAATTTATATTTTAGGTTAAATTACCAATCATTTTTATTTTCTGTAATTATACATCACGAGCATTTGTAAAGATAGCGTAGCACAGTTGAGAGTTTTATAAATATAATATGTTTTTAATGACGCTTGGCCCCCGTCC